GACAGCCAATCACAATCCTAATCGAGCGACAGCAATGCTACGATTGAAACTTCGATTAAAATTTGACATGAACTTTTTACTAAAAGTGATGAAAAGAAAGAGGATTGCTCGACACAATATTTTTATTCGAAGCACTTCTAATCAAAAACATAATTTTTAAACGGTTAGACCGATTTCACTATCGCAAAACTATCGTCAGATTCGTGATCGGCGCTCTAAAAAACATAGGACACGGTACGAGACAAGTCAAAGGTACGGTTCGAACCGTTTTTCGCGGCTCCTGATGGAGATAGATCGAAATAGGCCTTAATTAGGAATAACTGATAATTCTTCATTATTCCATGCACACATACCTTGCTCTTGAATCTGTCGAGAATCGTATGGAAGTAGAACACGTTGGCCATTTCAACCACGGGAAATTGAGTTTACGAAATGATCGCATAGCAGGTTTGTTTCCAACTGTAAGCTATCGATCTTAATCACAGTTGCCATAAATCGTAGCCTATTCACTTTACGATTCAGCAATGGCATCCCATCGGTCCATTAAGTCCTTGTAAACAGAGCAGCGTTTCACTATAGCAACCACTGGCATCCTTTTCCACCACTCACTCATACACCACTGTATGCTAGCTGCCTGATTCTCGCTTGCAGAAATTCAAAAGAATCGTCCTAGTTTATCCTCTTCGGTAAAAGTTGTGGAAGTTCGTTCACAGTCGGTTATAAAATATGGCAAGTATAGACACATACATATGTATGCAGAGACAGTATAGCGAGAGATGTGAATGATTTTTAGAGATGGATAGTTAAGGATAGTGGATACAGAGTAAGTTAGTATTTTTCTTGGTAAAGGTGCTTACTGCGAAACGTTGCTGGAAATACATAAGCTGATGTTATAGGTTTCTTCGAGTCATTCGCATCAACGACGATGTACTAGATGTAGGTTAGCTTTGTATGTATCTTGTGACGTACTTCCTGGTGATGGGGGTTTAGAAGCTGCGGTCTAGCGGCTTTGATAGAGGTTGTGTAACAGAGATGATAAGTGGAACTGTACGCGTGAGACACCGTAATTTAAAGCCCGTTTCGGAAAATTAAAGACGCCGCAAGACTAAGGACGACGGAGCGACGAGCGAGCAACTTGAGCTATTCGGAGTTACTGAAGCGAGCTTCGCTAAACAGCCGCGAGTGGCGTAGCCGTAGCTCAGTAAAGTTACGTTGCTTCCTTACAATACTTTCCATTTCTTTACTAGTTGCACCTCTCTGAATTTATCTAGTCTCGTAAGGCAGTCGGCTGTTGCGTTTAAAAACGACGCTTTGAAAAACTTTTTAGTTGTATAGAGAGTTTAAGAAGGCATTATTGACGCGTAGACGAACACTGATGGAGATTCTCATGGTGACAACGATTGGAATTAGATGTCGCAGTAAGTACGTTAATATCACGAGGTGTTTAGTCATTACGAAAGTTGGCGTAAGTGTTGGCGTAAGTGTAGTAATTTAAGACGAACTGCACAAAAAGTGGAATTATATATAGGTATACAGGGTGAATCACGAATCGTGATCAGTAGAGATTACTTTGTTATTAGCAGTCCGATCGAATATGTTTTTATCAGCTTTTGCATGGTTTCAAGAGAGCTTTAACGTGATAGTGAAAAATTACTGGTCAACTCTTTTTTTAAATGTTTTTTCAAGGTTACCTTGAATTTTTTGCAACTGAACATATAATTTTTTTACGCCTGTCTGTTAGAGGATTTCAAGACGAATTCGGCACATGTAAGGACATGACATTTTTTTTCATCTGGTTCGAAAGAAAATTAAAAAACTAAATACTCCTTATCACAAGGAGAATCACAGCTACGCCGTTATACGCATCCATTCTGTCGTCTTCAGTCGCCATCAG